TCTTGTTCTAACGGAACTTCACAATCAAAACAAGGACTTTTTAATCTTTTTTGTTTTAATCTTACTGTACTCTGTTTTCTAAGTTTTCGAAATTAAGGCGTGGATATTATGTTTTTAGTGTATCTACTTATGTAGAAAAAATCTTCAAAAACAAATAATAAAATAAATTATTTTAATTGTAGTATTTATGGAACCAGATCGTCTTTCCAAACGTTTTCGAAGAAGCCCTAGCTCAGAAAAAAATTCCACCGCCCATTCCAGAAAGACTAGGGAAGCTCCCTACACAATTTATCCCGAAATATTAGTTATAGTGGACTATGACGGATACAGATTACATTCAGGTGATAATGCACAAATCAAAAGGTACTTTATATCTTTCTGGAATGGCGTAGACTTGCGATACAAACTTCTCAAAGGACCAAAAGTTAGAATTTCCATTGCTGGGATAATTATAAGTCGAGTAAGTAATGAAAACAATTTTATTTTATTATTTCAAAAATATAAACATATATAATAAGAAAATATTAATTTTAAGATAGGAAAAATGATTTTTTTTTTTGGGAAAATATTTAGTGAGAATTTAATTTGAATTCTACATCTTCATCTGTTTCAATGCCGATATCTTCCAATAAATGTTTCTTAGTTTTGGGATAACTTTCCATTATCGTATCTACTATGTCCATACACATCCTTTTTCTTTTTTTGTACTCTTTTTCATACAGCTCATATTCTTTGATAATTTTATTTTTTTCGCTATCACTTAAAGGCTTCGCATTTTCTGTTAATTCTTTCAATCTTGATTTCATGTCTTGGATTTCGTCCTCGAGTTTCTTTTTTTGCAGTTTAGCCTCTTCAGTGGTCATTTTTCCTTGGAGTGAAGTAATTTGTGCCGTGTGTGCTTGCAAATTATTTTCAACGTCTTTTAATTTCGTTGATACTTCGGTTATTTGGCGATCTATTTCGCGCAGTTCTTCGTTTAATTTTTGAGGATCGGTAGTTTCATCTTGTGCGATACAATAAATTTTTTGCTTTCCATAAACCTTTTCAATAACTTTATTTTTATGTACCAATTTATCGAGGGATTTTAAGACAGCAGATTTGTTATGATCTTTTCCGACATTTTGTAAAATGTCGTTAGCACTGTATGGTCTGTTTTGGGATTTTAAGAACTCATAAATTTCTTCAGATGCCATTTTCTGTTAATTAGTTCTGAAAAAAAAGAAAAAATGCTTTTTACAATAAACTTTCGAACGCATTACATCAAATAATTACAGTAATGTTAATAATAGCTTTAAATATAAGAAAAAAAATCGGTTGTCTGTAAAGTCGGTTTACTGACGATAATTGAACGTGACAACGTCATAAGAAAATACTGATGGAATGGTTTCATTTTTCAAAAGAAAATTTTAATTTTATTTGTTTGATAAATATTTTGTATGGATATAGAGGAGGTAAATGGAAATGTATTATTGTATAGCATCTGTCCACACGGACGCATCGCTCACTCAAGTAAGAGAGAGACAGATGTCGAACGCTGCCGAACGCGGAGGCCGATTGTGCCTCTTTGTCGCTCGTTCCGCGCTCTCGCTTGCACTTCAAGCCTTAAATGGAACGCCTCAGAGCGAGGTAACGCCGCATTAGTCATGTTTTTTCGTGCGTGCAGCCGGCTCCATCGAATTATAAGACGTTGTCACGTCAGAAATAAGTAAAGTTATAATAATTCATAAGGGATGAAATGGGGAATATATAAAAAAATATACAAAGTATCTTTACTTTGTAGTACGTAGTAGAGAGTAAATCACTATTCTGTATGGTTGTTTCTCGTTTATTTCAGGGTAGAGACGCAACACCCTATCTAGAAAGAAATAGAGTAGGTAGAGACGCCATAGATTCGGCTGCAGCACTTACGGACATGGGAAAATATTTGTTTAGAGAACGAAGACTACCAGTATATGACATCGCTGTGGCTATTACAAAGTCAGTATAAAACTTATTCAAATTATTTAATTATGATCACGCTTTCTTTTAATTGAAANATACAAGCATGAAACTGGCTGATTACCCAGACCATGGAAATAAACTAGGAGATTTGATCCGAAATACTTGTCCGTCTCAATAAGGGTTGTTATCATCCCTGTATTTAATGTTGGCATGACGAGAGTGTTTGTTTACAGACTTGACATGTGCAGAAGACAATACCCCTCAGATAGTTGCAATAGGGGCACAGCAGGTACGGATTTGACTTTAAAAAAAATTAACCACCTTGTGCACCCACTGACTGACTTCTTATATTTTTTTCGACTAGTTCAGGAATTACGTTTTATTTCTTCGTAATTTTCCCTACGTAACAACTGTTTGTTGAATGATTTTATCTGCACTCAGCACTTATTATAGTCGTTATTTTGATAGCATGAGTGAATGTTTGTTGCATCCCTTTCCTCTTTGGCATGATTTTCACTCTATTTTTTTTTTTCAAAAGCATGCTTTCATAATCAGTTATTTTTGTAAAAATTTCAATTTATTCTTGTGATATATACAGAAATATATTAATTCATAAAAGCAATGCCGTATTTAAAAAAAATATTTTATATGTACACACTTTCAAAGTACATTTTTCTAGTATACTAAAAAATTAATTCGTAAGTATTTGTACCTATTATATAATACGTTTTAATTCTTTCAATCTTGATTTCATGTCTTGGATTTCGTCCTCGAGTTTCTTTTTTTGCAGTTTAGCCTCTTCAGTGGTCATTTTTCCCTTGGAGTGAAGTAATTTGTGCCGTGTGTGCTTGCAAATTATTTTCAACGTCTTTTAATTTCGTTGATACTTCGGTTATTTGGCGATCTATTTCGCGCAGTTCTTCGTTTAATTTTTGAGGATCGGTAGTTTCATCTTGTGCGATACAATAAATTTTTTGCTTTCCATAAACCTTTTCAATAACTTTATTTTTATGTACCAATTTATCGAGGGATTTTAAGACAGCAGATTTGTTATGATCTTTTCCGACATTTTGTAAAATGTCGTTAGCACTGTATGGTCTGTTTTGGGATTTTAAGAACTCATAAATTTCTTCAGATGCCATTTTCTGTTAATTAGTTCTGAAAAAAAAGAAAAAATGCTTTTTACAATAAACTTTCGAACGCATTACATCAAATAATTACAGTAATGTTAATAATAGCTTTAAATATAAGAAAAAAAATCGTTGTCTGTAAAGTCGGTTTACTGACGATAATTGAACGTGACAACGTCATAAGAAAATACTGATGGAATGGTTTCATTTTTCAAAAGAAAATTTTAATTTNATTTTTATAATCAATAATCAGTTTAGAGTGTAAACAGTAATTATTCAAAGTTTCAGTTCTTTTATAAAAACATATTGTACGCTGCTTACTTTGCTATCGATTTATTAAATCATTTTTACGATTCTGGAATTGTCACAAAAAATTCAAATTCAAGTGTGATAAACATTTTAAACTTCTTGTAATAATTTTAAATATTAGTTATATTATTTACGATTTTCCCTGAAATAATTGTATTTCTTCCTTAAGGATTCGCATACGTGGGTGGGGCCTGTGTAGTGAACAAGAGATTGGAAAAAGTAAACTCGGTAGCAATTATTGAAGACACTGGTGGTTTCAGTGGAATCATTGTAGCAGCGCACGAAGTTGGGCACTTGTAAGTAATTTTCAGCATTTTATTTACTTATTTCTATGTTAACATATCAAACACTTAAGTATGTATTTAAAACACCATTTATTTATCTCTTCTAATTGCCTATTATTAACTTTATCTATTTTGATTTTTTTTAATATTTTTTTTGTTAATATATAAATTTCAGTATTTGTTAACGTTTTGTAACTTGTTATTTTTAATGTAATCTGTCAGTAGCTCACATAATTCATTTCTAATCTGTGCATCTATGTATAACTGCCGTTTTTAAGCTCATATAATGGTATGCTATTAAAGTATGATCCTTAAAAAAAATTGTCTCTCAGTCGGTCTATGCGGGCTAAAAAAAAATATTTGACCGATTTCGATGAGGCTTTATAGACACGTGTTACCAGGAGTGATCTAGACAATTTTTTTAAAATTGTTTATTGGTTATAACAACTGTATTTATTATAAACAATTACAAATGGTTTCATATAGATAAACTACAGGGTAAAAGCTAGCGGAACATAATTTGTTTTGTTGTGCCAATATAAATTTTTAATCAGGCACATTAAAAATATAATCAATAATAATTTCATACATAAAAGTTATAAATTGTCTAGGTTTTCTTCCACCACATTTACGGATTGACGATTGTATCAACCAGTAGTTACTTTCAATAGAGATTTTTAGTCATAAATGTATTTTTTTATAGATTGGGAGCTGTACATGATGGAAGTCCACCACCGTCATACTTGGGAGGTCCAGGGGCAGAAAAATGCCAATGGACTGATGGTTACATCATGTCCGACTTACGACATACCGAAAGAGGTTTCAAATGGTCCCCATGCAGCATTGCTAGCTTTCATCATTTCTTAAAGTAAGTTCTCGGATAATAAAAATTAATTTTATTTACCGTACCTAATAAGTAACCACCTTAACACTTAACACTTTTTGAATTATACATAGCTTAATACTTTTATCACACCATCTCTTTCTATTAATGGTCATCATCATCATCATCATCATCTTAAGGTCATCAGTCCTAAGACAAAAACATAAAATCCAAGTATTAATTAATTAATTTTATTCAGACTCAACCACAACGTTTTATAAATTTTTTGGATAAATGTATTGTTTAATGCAAATATTTATATCAAACCAAATAGCCTCACTAATAATTAAATAAAAACATTTTAACTCTTTATTACTTTATTTCCACTGGCTTAACAANATGTAGGAATAAAATACAAATTAATTATGTTGTAAAAATACGCGTACAAAATATAAGTTATATCTCGCGGAGAGTATGTTTGTTTGGATACTGTTCTATTCGAGTGACAATGAACGACTGCTTTAGAGGAAAGCATTTTAGGTTTTTGGTAAACTCAAAAAAAAATCGTTGTCTGTAAAGTCGGTTTACTGACGATAGTTGAANATCGGCGACATTTCCCCATATTATCGCTATATTTAGAAATTCAGAGACTAATAAAACAATTATTTTTGCCGTACTACAAGATATACGAACTTTACAAAAAATAGTAATTAAAGTAGGTACAATTTACTGGTTCAAATTTACTTTACACTACACCTTGTATATATATTTGCACACAGGTACAATAGCAAGAAGAATAACGTAGACCCTTACAACAACAACCCTTATCCCGAACTGACGACCCTAAATCCATACAATTATGATAATCAAAACGACAAAATCCCTTATTACAGAAGTCCTAACAATAATAATAACAACAACAACAATTTCCAATATTATTACTCCTCAACCTCAACATCAACATCAACAGAGTCTAATAATTTCTTCAGTATCGGCACTCAAGCCGCCGACACTCAGCCACCCCCTATCTACAATTTCCATAACATCAATAATCGTAATCAATACGTTACCGAAAATCCTTACGTTTACAACCAATACACGACACAAAAACCTTACCATTCGAGATCGCAGCCCAACAACAGCCCTTTTGTGGGTAACTACTTTCAATTGATAAAACAAACCACGAAGAATCCTTACGATTTTGCAAACTTTGAGACCAACTATAGGAGGGGAAAGAGCGCGTTCGGCGGGCAAAATGAAGATGTGGGCGGTGATGTTGATAACAACCATTTAAAGAGATCGTACAACGCCGCCGCCTATTATGATCCGGCGGAAAGCGCCACCAAGATACAGGGTGAAACTACGTAAACGTATCTTTCTTTTATTGGTAAGACTACAGACGGACAGACGCTGTACTACGTCGTTTTTTCTTGTGCCTGCTGCCTGCATCAATACTATCCACGCATCTTGTGGTCTGTCGTATTCTTCGATAACAATACAAACCCAAGTTCTAAGCACTGGAATATTAAATATTCATGAATGTTGCACATTCAAGGGCCAATTGAAGGGAAGGAGGTCAACGTTTCCTAATTTTTTTGATAGATGTGGAACGCTTTTTGGAACCCCTGGTTTATTTCAATAGTATGATTTTAAGCAACATTCTTTAAATGGATTATTTAAAACGAAAATGATAATTATTTCAAATAATTATTTGCTCAAATAACTATTTCAATATCAATCCAAAAGTTCTTAAAAATAAGATGTTTAAATTGTATTTGTTTTAAATCTGACTGCACTTTAAGCTTAGCGGAACCCCGGATAAAAAGTATTCAAACTCATATAGTAAAGATGTCCGTTACTCAATTAAACCTCATACAAACAAAATTTGGCATATTATGATGATTAGCAGCATGGTTCATTGGCTTTTTAACACCTTAAAAACAGACTTATGACCTACCTACCAATATTTTCTTGAATGTAACAATTCTTTAATATCAAATTTGAGTTTCTCAAACAATGCAATTACAAGAAATTACAGTCTAAAGGATACTTGTTAATTAATTTCTGTAAAATAAACTTTGTAAATTGTAGATAATATAATTTCTCAAAAAATTTATGCGGTATTATGTATATATTTTAATTTTCTAAAACAGTAAAATATTTTAAAATAAATTATAACTTCATGTATTTATATAATAGAAAATCATTTTCTAAAAGCTAATTTCTTAACGTTTAACAACCTCCTTGAAAGTTATGGGGAGGCATGTATGCCTAATTGAATTTCAAAGGTTTGAACTTGGGTTTGTAAATAACTGATAACGAAATACAACGTCGTCTTTTATTTTTTTTCTTTTTAACAATGTTCAAATAATAAACATAGACATATTCCCTTGCATGATATCAGACAACATCTACGTGCATTGTGCATGTATTCATCAATATTTCTTCTTATTTAGTAGTCCAAACAAGTCGTATTTCAAGAGATATTCTTTCTTCATTAAAAAGTACCCTCTCTGCATATGCCTGAACAACGCCTGCCTCGAATTGTATTCCAGTTTTAACTTTTTCATTTATGTATGTACGTTGACTAAAATCACTAAAGAAGAAAAATACTCCTACCTACTTACCCACCTCTCCTTTTCTATGTATGTAGATAAAACTCTATTTCATTCTTTTATGTATTTTCCTTATATTTTTACAATTTGTCTAATTAAATAAAAAGCAAAATAAAAGGAAAAATTATTAAAAAAAAAGCATCCTGTAAAAGTAATGCTACATAAATTTTCATTGTTATTAACTTTACACTTAATAGCAAGTGCTGACTTTAAAAAGAAAAATGTTTCCTAATATTCTCTCTACTGTTTTACAAACTATAAAACAAAAAAAATCAAAAACATTCGTACATGATTACTAAAATGTACTTTTCATACAAAACATTAATTTTGTTTTTTAAACTTTTCCAGCTTTACCCATTGACTCGTGTCTTTCATAAGGAAACTATTCACCTAAGACGGCCCTGTATGGCTACTAAAATCGAGTACTGCATCAACACTGGCACCGCAGCCGGTTCTGTGGAACAGTGGTTGACCCTAGCAGGGACACTAGTAATGATAATATGAGTGCGAACTTACAGGACATACCCCCAGTGTGCCTTAAAATTGCCCGCCGTGAGTTTTGACTTTTATTATTTTTCTTTTTGGAAGGAAAATGTGTGCGTATCCGCGTTTCGAGTGTCCGCGATGTGCTGCATCTGTAACTCTTGAGGGAGACAATAAAATGATCTGTCAAGTGTATTTTTAACGAATCATTTCAAATGCAGGACGAAATATTGTAATTTTAGATTATAAAGCGAAACAAGGTGCCCATTGTATCGATACCTTTCTTAATTTTACCGCCAATGAGAGGAACAACCTTTTTATTTCTCACTTTAAATTTGTACTTAAAATTCGTTTAGCACATGTCTTTTTTTTTTAGCAAAGTAGTCTTTTATTTTAAACAAATAAATTATTTTTAAATTGACTTGTTCTATATTATTTATTTGCTTTATGCAAAACAAACTTACAAAAAATTTAAAATGCTTCTTTTTTGACAATTTCCACAAATAACCCTAGGATATAAAACACTTTAAACTTATTAAATGAATTATGTGTTAATCTTTTTAGCAGTTAATCCACTTGCTCTCAATGCAATATGAAAAATCATTGCAACGGAGAGTAAACAGACTCCACCAGCAGGCATGATCTTTCTAGTATTGTAAAATCGGTAGCCCATTAGAGCTGTTAAAGACGAAGTGGCGCATATTTGGAGTAAATAACTAGGAGGCTCCTGGCTAGCTTGCCAAGCCCCATATGCCAATACTGTCCCGCATATTAAACCAGCCCCCAATGATGGAATTGATTCTAAGAAAAGCAATAATAAAGACAACGGTTTTATAAAAAGTGCAATTTTATACAATGACATCATAATAGGTAACGCAAAATCAATATATTACTTACTTTTTCTGTAATAACCCAAAACACCGCCAGCAGCTATTGCTGCAGCATACGCAAAACCAGGAAGGTCTATAGTCATTTCTTTTTATATTTTGTTGCAAAATTTTACTATAACACCGAACTATTGTGTGTAATACAAATGCAGTAATAAAAGTGAACAAAAATAAATACTGTCCGTGCGCATTAAAAGTAACCTAACTTGCGAAGCGGGAATATCAAACAAAATCTGCCTCTTACTGCTATTCCATTAAACTTGTTGCGTATTATTACTTACATTATAACCAATGATCCAATTATTATCACAAAAACAAAATCACGTTATGTTCATATCTAATCAACAAACATCGATAACAAAGGATATTTATCAAACTTTTTTTATAAACAAAGAAAAGTCTGAAACAGTTCTCACATAGAGGCGCTATAGTTAAAAACATAGATATAACATAGATTGTCAAAAACACAAATTACCTATGATAATTAACAACTAATCTATGATATCAGACGGTCTATGATCATTAACAGTTAATCTATGATATCATACGGTCTATGATCATATCCAGATTTATCTATGATCCAAATCCAGATCGTATCTATGCTTGACACAAATTGACGCAAATGTAAAGTGATGTGCTGTGTACCTAAAATCAAACAAAATGTGGGAAGAAGAAAAAAGTCGATGATTAACAGGAATAGGGAAGATCCGTAACCTAAGCGTGTGTATGTGTGTGAAGTAAGTAATTTACTGTTTTTCATTAAAGATTTTACGTTCCAGAAACATGCGAAATGATCAATTAGAAAGCAACAGACATGACGACAAAAGCCATTTACGTTGAAATGCCACTATACTTGTACAGTATGTACCATATATTTATGCCACAGGATACTTACAATAAAAAACTAACCCTATAATTTACGCAAAGCTAGTCAGTGTTTTAATGTTCTATGCTTGACATTGTGCTTACAGATTTGAATCTAATTACTTTCAAAATACGTAATTGCTAATTGGTAGTGCTTTGATTTTAAAATGTAATCGAGGCTTTAAAGGCTAAAGAACATTATGTAGGGGCTTTGGGCTTATAGCTGTTTTGCTAAGGGTTTGCCTATATCTGACTGTAAGCCCTACAAATGAAAATTTATAGAAGATTTTGAGGTAAATAATTGATATTGCAGACCAGTGTTAATCATGTCCAATCATTTAAGTAAACATTAAACTAATTCAATAATACTGTTAATTCATTCATAGTAACTATTTTCAGTTCCAGTAAGTTAAAAAGAATTTGAAGATGCATTACATATTGATGAAATTATAAATTTGTTCACTTCTATCAAAAATGTGGGTAGTTTCAACATTCTTTACTTTGTAGCATTCTCTACTATTGTGAAACAAGAATATTGACATGTCAGTGTTTTTGTAGCAGTCCTGTTTCACTCTAAAAGGTACCAGTACTTAAAGTCTTGAAGAAATCATGAAATTACCCTTTTTTCATTGGTAACAATAACAGAAAATAGTACTTAGTACATTAAGCAATTAGTGCTGTTAGTCTTTTCTTATAAATATTTATTATGGATATAGGGCCTGCAGTTAACTCTGAATGTGGGAATGATTGTATGGTGAAAACTAAGACTATGGGTAATATGGACACGAATAAGTTGATCAAAAGGTGGGATTGTTAAATTTTATTAATGAACTGTTTTTGCAGTCAAATAATTGGACTGATTCTCAGCTCTTTGTAGTATTTTGTCTTTTATTGTATGTTATTAATTTAATAGTGTATTTAATCTGTTTTTGTTGCACTTTTCAGCACAATTTGGGTTGCAAATGAGATGAGATCACTATGAAATTTATTTTGCTTAGGCTAAGGCTTTAGGAGGCTAAATTAATTATATTTGAATACTCTGTCATTATGAAAACATTGGTTTCTCTTTCACTCTGCAAAGTAGTAATACCTGCAGTCCTGAAGAAAGCATGAAGCTGCCTTTATTGCATTGACAATAAAAATAATGTGGTATTGTTAAAAGAATGGTTTATGATATGAATTGGTAAGTAACAATTAAAAATAGTAGATGCGGTCCTGCAAAACTTCAATTTCTTTGATATTTGTAACTTTCAATAAATATATTTTAAATCATGTTGTCAAAAGCAGAACAGCAGAATAAATGTCTGGAACTGTCGTTTCCGGCAATATGAATGTTAATACAAAGGATAGACCGTTTATTTTAATTTTTTTTTTTTTAAACATGAACTATTACGTATATTATGATATTAATGTGGGAGTCTGAAGAAACCTGATAAGGATTTAACATCATAGCAGTGTTTATTTCGCTTATTAATTAATGGTTTTCTATTTTTTGTTTTTATTTATTTATAATTTTTTAACAGTCATCTTTAAAATATTATTGATTAAAAGTATTTAATTACTTTTTCTGTCCGTTTTTATAGATTGGCTAACAAATAAAAAAGATTGGGAAGTTAATTTTAACCCTACCGATGACAACATGGGTTGTCTGACCTAGTATGCTTTCTACACATGTAAATCATGGAACGTTACATTCTACAGTTATTCAGGTAATAATATATAGTTAAATTAGTATTAATTACACTTCATTAATCTAGTGTCAATTTGGTTAACAAAAGACGATCTAAAACATAATGCATAGGATGGCGATAATAAATTACTTCTTTGTATAAGACCATTAGATTGTCCTTTATTTAGTTGGGGTTGTAGGTAATTGTGAACTTCAGTTTATCCATTTTTTTTCTAAAAATGCCTTGGCGTTTGTAGCTTCACTACGTTTTGCTGATTTTGTCACAAAAATTCATAGAGAACATCGATTTACACTTCCAACCCCCAATTAATTTAGTAATATTTTAAACTCTGATTTTGAAAGCCGAATCTTTAATAAGTAAAAAAATTTAGAACTGCTACGGCAGCCTGACGCTCGAATACTTTGCAGCAAAGTGGGTTGCCTGAATCAAGGTTAAGTAATAACCAACAGCATCTATATCTATTTAAAATTCAAATTATGATACCCATGTTACAGTGCGAGTCGAAACTTGTAAGCAAATAAATTATTGAATATTATTGATTCATCTAATTATGTTTCGTACATAAGCAATCTATGCAAATAATTATGATTTTACGACACTTGCCACTGTTAATGTAAATGATTTTTTTCACTTTGTTTTGTATATTTCATTAATGTAGACATTTTTACCCTGTGTCCTGTACATTATAATTTTTTTAACTATTTCTATTAGTGGAAGTTGCTCACGGAGATAGATGCTTCTTAATCAAAAATCGAGATTGATTAAGAAGAAAAATGTATCCCTTTTTTAGTTGGCTTATAATAACAACGATAAGAACAAAGCAATAAATTTTTGATCTTCTATCCAACGATTGAGAAATTTGTAACAGTTATTTCTTTAGTAAGCATCTGAAGTCTATTTATTATCTTATTTCAGCATTTTCAAAAAGCATTGTATTTTTTAAAAAATCCTTGTTTTCAAATTGCATTCCAATGAAAAGAAATTAATTTTTAGTTATAAAATCCTTGTAAAAGAACGATACGCACCTTTCGTTGGCCCAAGAAGGGAAAAACGATCTGTGATTTTGAATTATCTTAAATACCACCCTTATGGCAACCAAAGGAGCTTACCAGTTTTAATATTAAGTACCTACTTATATTGAATTTATTTTATACTTGTATACATAATGCATTGTTAATTAATTTCATTTGGGCATTTGAAAATAATACAAAAGATAACGTAGTAGATACATATACATAAATACAAAATAACTACAAATTATAGACGTCACCTACTAATTTTATAAAAACTTAAAATTTTAAATAACTAAAATCGACAGATCAGATGAATTCAATTTTAAATAAGTTTATCTATCCTGTGATTTAATATTATTTTATTATTATTATCAAGGTCATTCTTAATTCGGATACAGAAAAAGTAAATCACAGAAACTGTTAATATACCGAAAAACATTAATTGTGGACAATTTTTTTTTAAAATAACAATAAGGTACTTCTAAAATTATGCTGCAATTACGTAGTTTCTTAATTTGATTCGTTTAATGTTTAAAAAATTCAATTTCTTGTCCATTTGGTAACATTTTTATTTGTAGTTTAAGATCTCTAAACCAGATAAATTGATGATAATAGGTAGAGTTTATTTAACTAAAAAATCATCTGATTTGATTACATATAAATTAAACCACCGAAATAAAACATATTAATTTGCTAAAAGTGATTAAATTGTTTCCACACAATACGTTAATTTGTGTATTTATTAATCAATCAAGTTACGGGTCATGCCCTAATAATACATAAAAAATGAAGGTGATGTGTTGATGTTATTCATATCTAAACTAAAACAAACAGTTTTATCACTGTTTCTTTTGCTCTTGTATTCGTTATCTTTTGAGTTGTGGTCAGGCGATGGAACTTTAACGAAGCAAAAACACGCATAAATTCAATTCTATAAAACGGGGATGAAACTAGTTACGCGATTGGTTAAATTACGAAACTTTTGCCGCGAAATCGAATTTGATGCTTCTGATTGGCGTTTTATACGCGTCATCAGTGCTTCATGCAGTAGCTTTCGCAACTTCGAGGCAAGCTGGAAACGCTCTCGGTTCATTATAAGTCGATAGTTGTTCATAGCGGTAGGATGTGTTTTCGCGTCTTTTAAATTTAACTTACTGAGCTAATTTTTTCGCAGAATTAAATTTTTTTTTCTACGTGTAATACCCTGAATATTTAGATTGATTGATTCATACTATATTATTATTTTTCGCAGTTGTCCACAGCATAAATTAAATTGACAAAATAAGTTGTCTCCTTTCTATGGCGTTTTATCTGTTCCATCTTGAAGGCTGTTATATTTAACTGATTAAGGTGAGCATACATGCTATATTATATATGTAGTGTATTTCACATAAGAGAGAAAAGGGTTTGGCATTACTTTAATGATGTATCATGCACGTTATTTAGTTACAATTAAATTAATTATATCTTACCACTTTTTCATAGAATTTATTCTACAAGAACATTAGAAGAACTCAAGATACCATTAACTTATGGAGCACTGGTTGTATTAGTCCTCATTTGCTATAGAAAATAGATGTACTTGTGGTCTTAAGGAAAGCATGAAAGTGCCTTTTTTCCATTGGGAGAGGAGACAGTGTGCTAAAGAAAGGATTTATGACAATGAACTGGTATGTAACAGTATCAATTAAAAATAGTAAATGAGGTTCCAGAAACTTCAATTTCTTAAGACATTTATAACTTGCTTCAATAAACAACTTTTGAACAAAACAGTAGGATTAATGTGGGACTGATCTTTTCNAAAGTGTATAAGACACTTTTAAGATCAACTAAATAGCTAAGCCCAAGGGAAGTCGTTCGGGGAGGCCCTCCCTAATTCCACAAGGGTGAGAAGAAACACACACGATAACGAAACGTTGAATCATGTAGAACTCGTAGGGTAAATGCAAAGCAATTTATAGTAAGAATATGCAGTAAGCTAAGCGAAGAGGTAAGCAAGGTTAGACTATACTACAACTACTAAACGTGTTATTTCTACTACTACATTACTACTACATACAAAAAAAAATAAAAACATCTACAATCAACAATTACTTCAAATAAAATGAACAAAAATAAGCATGCAAAATAAAAACTAATTCAACTACAAAACAAACATGCAAAATAAAAAATTAATTTTAATAAAATGGACTTAATGAATTCAACTAGATAGAGCATGCAAGATAAAGAACTATTTTAACTATGGGGTCATCTCTGTCTTCTCCAACGTCGATCTGAAACAGATACGGTGGTAACAGATTAATAAAGAGCAATTAAAGTTAATTATATCAAGTATTCTCACCTTTATTAACTGTAGGATGTAATGTTTCAAAGTTTGCAGGTGTGAAAAGCAAACCAACTTCAGGAGAAATACCATGGCAGAAAATTTGTTGTTTCAGTGGAATTCGAATAAATCTCCAGTTGCTCTCACTCGTCGATTGAAAATTGACTGCATAATGTTGCAAGATGAGGACAAAACAGCAAATATACTCCACGAAAGACAACGCCCATGTAGACATCGGCTGTTTCAGTATGACCAAACTGAACATTAATTCTCTCTCATCTGTTGGATAACCTGCAGAAAAGGACAAAAACACATATCAATCACCCTACTAATTAAGAAACACATTTAACGCAACTAAAAACGCACCAAAAAGCAAGTAAAACAGTTAAGTCATTAAATGACAAACGTTATTTTCATATTTTGTATCACAACCACAGATCCCGACATAGATAAATGTCAAATAACACGACGTCAATTTATTATGCGGATAATAGATGAAGGCTAAACAGAAATCCATAGATGAATGACAAATATCAATATATTCTGTGGAAAATAAAAATTGTTAAGAGATACAGATGCAGAATAACCTCAATTCGTACTGTTGACAATAGATAACTGTTAAGAGAATTTCCATGGTAAATTAATAAAGATCAATTAATATTAATGAAGTCATGCATTCTCACCTGAATTAGTTGTTGAAAGTAGCATTCTAAAGTCTACCAGTACGATAGGCAAACCAAATCTACAAACCACTGAAGATAATTTGCTGTTCCAGTAGCTTCCGAATTAATGTACAATTGCCTCCCATTCTCAATGCCAAAATTAAGTACTTCATGCTGTAAGGTGAAGACATCAAGAGCGTCAGTTGTTTTAGTACCACCAGAATTAATTCCTTCTGTTATTGGAAGATCTACAGAACCAGGCAAGAAAAAGGTAATTAATTACCACTTTTAAAACAAGTAAATTAGCAACATTCACACTGATGAAAAGATCAGTCCCACATTAATCCTACTGTTTTGTTCAAAAGTTGTTTATTGAAGCAAGTTATAAATGTCTTAAGAAATTGAAGTTTCTGGAACCTCATTTACTATTTTTAATTGATACTGTTAAATACCAGTTCATTGTCATAAATCCTTTCTTTAGCACACTGTCTCCTCTCCCAATGGAAAAAAGGCACTTTCATGCTTTCCTTAAGACCACAAGTACATCTATTTTCTATAGCAAATGAGGACTAATACAACCAGTGCTCCATAAGTTAATGGTATCTTGAGTTCTTCTAATGTTCTTGTAGAATAAATTCTATGAAAAAGTGGTAAGATATAATTAATTTAATTGTAACTAAATAACGTGCATGATACATCATTAAAGTAATGCCAAACCCTTTTCTCTCTTATGTGAAATACACTACATATATAATATAGCATGCATGCTCACCTTAATCAGTTAACTATAACAGCCTTCAAGATGGAACAGATAAAACGCCATAGGAAGGAGACAACTTATTTTTTCAGTAGCATCAAAATGAAAGACAACGCCCATGTAGAATTTGGCTGTTTCACTATGAACATTAATTATCTCTCATCAAAAGCGACGGTTGTTTAAGTAGCACCAAAGTTAATTCCTTCTCACTTGTTAGAAAATCTATAGAGACGGGCAAGAAAAAGTAATTAATTACCACTTTTAAAACAAGTAAATCAGTAACATTCACACTTATGAAAAGATCTGTTCCACATTAACTCTGCATCTGCCACATCTAAAATGTTGTTTAAATGTTGTCTATTGAAGCAAGTTACAAATGTCTAAAAAATTAAATTTCAGGGACCTCACTTACTGTTTTTAATTGATACTTTTACATACTAGTTCATTGTCATAAATCATATCCTCAGCAACAGCCACCGTCTCCATTCCCAATGGAAAAAAAGGCAGTTTCATGCTTTTCTTGGGACCATAGGTGCAGCTACTTTCTGGAGCAAATGAAGACTAATACAACCGATGCCTCATAATTTAAAAGTACTTCAAGATTGAAAGTTATCAACATAGGACGGAGACAACTTGTTTTTTTCAGTAGCATCAAAATTAATTTCAATCTCCTCACTAGTTTATCTTCAATCTGTAAAAAAANATCCTTTCTTTAGCACACTGTCTCCTCTCCCAATGGAAAAAAGGCACTTTCATGCTTTCCTTAAGACCACAAGTACATCTATTTTCTATAGCAAATGAGGACTAATACAACCAGTGCTCCATAAGTTAATGGTATCTTGAGTTCTTCTAATGTTCTTGTAGAATAAATTCTATGAAAAAGTGGTAAGATATAATTAATTTAATTGTAACTAAATAACGTGCATGATACATCATTAAAGTAATGCCAAACCCTTTTCTCTCTTATGTGAAATACACTACATATATAATATAGCATGTATGCTCACCTTAATCAGTTAAATATAACAGCCTTCAAGATGGAACAGATAAAACGCCATAGAAAGGAGACAACTTATTTTGTCAATTTAATTTATGCTGTGGACAACTGCGAAAAATAATAATATAGTATGAATCAATCAATCTAAATATTCAGGGTATTACACGTAGAAAAAAAAATTTAATTCTGCGAAAAAATTAGCTCAGTAAGTTAAATTTAAAAGACGCGAAAACACATCCTACCGCTATGAACAACTATCGACTTATAATGAACCGAGAGCGTTTCCAGCTTGCCTCGAAGTTGCGAAAGCTACTGCATGAAGCACTGATGACGCGTATAAAACGCCAATCAGAAGCATCAAATTCGATTTCGCGGCAAAAGTTTCGTAATTTAACCAATCGCGTAACTAGTTTCATCCCCGTTTTATAGAATTGAATTTATGTGTGTTTTTGCTTCGTTAAAGTTCCATCGCCTGACCACAACTCAAAAGATAACGAATACAAGAGCAAAAGAAACAGTGATAAAACTATTTGTTTTAGTTTAGATATGAATAACATCTACACATCACCTTCATTTTTTATGTATGAAGTTCGCAATTACTTACAACCCCTACTAAAAAAGGACAATCTAACGGTCCTATACATAAAGTAACTTGTTATATGCTCGTTATCCTAGGCATTACGTTTTTCAACTATGTATTATTACCTGAAGTAGCTGTAGAATCTAACGTTCCATGGTTTACATTTTTTGACTAACGAAATTAACTACAAAATCGAACAACTGCAAGATTAAAAGTTTGAAGTGAATAGTAAGAAGAAGAAGAATAGTTCGTACCTGTAAATATATATATATGTACATATTTGTTAATTTATGCTTTGGACACATAGATAATTGTAAAGAAAAAATCTATAGAGAATAGATAAAAAACTAAAGATTCACTTAATATTAACTATTTTCTTAAATAAAAACTAAAAATTTTGAAAGGCTGTTCTTCATATACGAAATGATTTTTGAATACTTCCACATAATTTTTATTCGAAGTTCTTTTTGAACTTATGTTCTCTGTGAACAAAATGTAGTGGCGCTATAAACGACAACTGGGTTTTTTCAGAAATCTGATCGCAATACAATTTTAACAAAAAAAGAATATTTCGACGTTTTAATATACAAAGAAGTAATATGTGCTCGACAACTAATGAATAATATTCTATAAACCAAGTCTTTTGTGCGGAAATTTGCTACAGTTTGATAATATTAATTTATTATATTATGTATTCTTATGAAATCCTTGATTAGCTGCACATGTGAAAAACAAATTAAATCCAGAAAATATTCAGGAAAATGTAGAATACCAGTCTACCAATGCAAACATTGCTCGACTGTGTATGCATACAATTGTCAATATATGGTCAATATGTGGTTGTCATAGATAAGGTCATAGATAACTATTGTTATGTCAAGTTTGTTGTAATTTATGTTATTAACATTAGTGTTTAACAGTAAAATAAATATTAGTCACTACATCATGACTTAACATTATTTTTTATATTTATATAACGAACCAGACGAAGAGCAAAACGTGTAATAATTGAAACCATACAAATACATGCGATTAGTGAACGCTGAAGGTTATCAATAATATTTGCATTACACAACATACCTAGGTAAATATCTAAATTGATTTTATTAATTTGTAACTAGTGTTCATCGTTTTTTTAACTACGTTTAGTGTTACTTTTTGTGCTAATAAAAAAGAGAAGAAAGTGAGGTTATTTCCATGCAAACTTGGCGTGTAGTAGTGGCTTTTACAGTTTAAAAATATTTCTGTTTAAACGTCCTCTCTTTATTGTACGTCATTTTAAAATGTTGGATGGATTTAAGTCTGCCATAGTTAGCACAGGAAACATTTTGTCTCTGAACAACATCACCAAAAATCCGAAGAATCCAACCGAAGATGTAAGTAGCTGACTCTAATAGTAGAATTTATTCCTTACAATGCTAAATTATCATTTTAGTTAGTTGAATCTTTGACAACAACTTTAAATGAATATAAAAATGGAGGACCTTTGAAGAGTTCTGATTCTATTATTATACGAAGAAAAAATGATGACACCCCTTTAAAGTTGTCTTCAGAAGACGTGTCCAAGTGCAAAATTGGATTAAAGTTGTTTTTGGACAGTGACGAACCATCTCGAATAAAAGAGGCAATTGAAAAAGGTTTTGAGCAATAACTACTTTGAAAGTTTACTAAATATATAGCTGTTTATGATTAATTTAATAATGAAAAGTCAAATGTCGTACAATTGTCAATGACCTGATGCAAAAATTCTGGTTCAATTTGTGCACTATTTTCTCTAATAACGCTTTTTGTAGCTTTTCAAACGTTAAATGTTGATTCTGCAAATAATTTGGTTGTAAGTTACTACAGTCACTGTCAGCAGCCTAAAGAAGAGGATACATTAGGCAAAATTAAAAGTATTTGGTCCATTCTAGAAGGTTATGTGAATTCCAAAAAGATACACCAAATAGGCATTGCTGATATTGAAGAAAACATGTTTAAAGAAGTCTACGAATGGGCGTCTGTTAAACCTAGTATTATACAAATCAATTTAGCAACGTGTTGTGTTGTACCTCCAACATTACAAGAATTTTGTACCATGCATGGAATCCAACTTCTCACACACAGTGACCCTTCATGTAAGATATAAAATATTGTAGAAAAAATTATTAAGAATTATAGAGAAAGAAATTTAGGTGAAGACCATAGGGCTGATATCTCCACAATATATTGCTTATATTTTTAGGAATAATTATTAACAATATATCAAAATCCTGAGTTTAGACTCCTGAATTAATTGGGTTACAAGCAAAAGAAATTTTTAGATAAACTACATTTTTTAATCATTGTATTTCACATTCCAACACTTTGTTGTTACCTATTTATTATGTTTTCCGTTAATCAACAGTTTCTATAAACGTTACAAATGTTTTTAAATCTATGGGAAACAAAGATCAAGTTTTGTGGATTGGTTCTTGTATTGCTTATTTATTGGACCATACAGTTTTTCTTTAAAAAAAAAAATATATAAGTATTGTTTATAAATAGCACGTGAAATTTTAAATTACAGTAGGACAAACCAGCCTTGAAGCCAATTAAATTTTGCTATGTTTATTAAATAGAAACGTTGTTTACATTTTTTCGCAATACAAGCACGCTTATTAAATTTCAAGTAGCAACAGATAAGGTCAAACGAAATGCATACAAAATTCTATCTCTGTCCGTTTTTTTAATGCATGATTACCGTAATAAAATAAAACAGTAAAAGCCAAAATCCAATTTAAGAATGTTTAGAAACATTAACGCGTTTTAACACTCAAGGCGTCACCCTCAGTTAAAAGCTAAATTAATCTAAATTCTAAAGCTTATTATGTAGTTAAGATCCCTGTAATAAATTATGTAAATATTAATGGAAACTAACAATTTTAAACTATTAAAGAGGCATACATAATATACAGCCCTTTCTTTTCTGTTTGGTTTTGAATATTCACACTTTGGTGCCCTACCCTACAATTAGATTCTTTAACGTCACCTCCGTCAATACCGCCGTTAGTATGAGAGATGTTGAAACCTTGTTAGATTTTTAAACGATTTTACGTGGAATTATGAGTTTTGGGTTTTCTTTGATTTAGTTTCATAAAATTTGCATGATACTACTATTTTCAGGTATCTTGCCAGAAAGTTCATTGGAGTTCCTGTTTGGATCATCAGTTAAATTAAATTGGGTCATTAGGTTTTTGGTGCACATTAAATGTCGTGGGGTACTGATAACAAAAGGCTACTTGGTGAGCATCACAAAACAACACCCAAGCTCGTAAAAATGGAGAAAATTTAACATTCCAAAGTGTCTAATTTCTATAAATCACGTCATTTAGATAAATGGTTTACAGTGTTTTCACCAATTACAGTATTTATTCATATTTTTCTTGTGAAGGGTATGTTATCGTTATTCCTACATTGATTGCACTTTCCGTTTGTTAACACACTGTATTATAGTTTCGTATTTGTTAATAAAAGAGTTTAATATCTATTTTTGTTAAAACTCATATTGTTGATGGTGTATACTTTAATGCTTATTCGAATCTCGAGAATATGTTTAGACCTAATCTGATCTGTTATTTTCAAGAGGATAGCAGACACTAAAATTAAATTAATAAACCACTATTTATACTAGACATACTAATAATACGGTAACTATATTTTGCCTGTGGTTGATATCCAATCAATGTATTTTATCCAACAAGGATAAAAAGGAGATTTTTAAAAGTGAGTGAAACGTGGACGTGAAAAGGGTTTAGGATGTGAGAAAGTATTGAAAATAGTAGACATACAGGGGATGCTATGGAAATCAATAGGGAAACGGAGACACAAGAAGATCTAGTTGGAGACATTAGAAGTAGAAAGACAGAGGAAGACATAAATTAAATTACGGCATTTTTAATGATCGAACTTTTTTAACGTTAAAACAACACTACGGACGAGAAGTGTTTAAAATAATAATAGAAAATAGTGATGAAACGATTATTAATTAGCGATTACTATTATTTCTGTTTTCTTTTTTTAATAAAACAAACTATTGCCGATAAAAGCCGATAAATATTTATTACCATAAAGTAATAATCAATACTAAGTGAATTATAAAAATAAAAGTAATCGCGAGATGACGAGAGTATTACATTCCTTGCATTACAATCGAGTGAACGATTGTGCGGGGAAGTCCCCAAAACGTCAACTCAACTCAGCCTCAGCGTCAATTCAATTGAGCCTTTTCTGTTCTTTTGGAAGGACGTACTACATTTTATCATTTCATACGTGTATTAATTTCATGTCCCCATTTTCCTTTAACGTTCCATAGTGATTTTAAAGCATTTATGCTGAACCGTTTCACATATTTGCTGATAACGTTACATAATTTTACCAACTTTAATGTTGATTTGCAGAACTTTTAGTCGTTTAAACACATGTGTCTTAGATTATGCAAGTGTATTAAATTAAAATAAATAAAGAAATAGATAAATATTTCTGTAAGAATTCTGGTTATGTTTAAGGTATATAATAATGTAAATAATTTATATCTCCAAATTCATAAAAGAAAACCTTTATAATATTATTGTACAATAAATTGAATAAAGTATTCAATTAAGTTTTATTGCATACTAAACACTTTAATTTGAATGTACAGTTATTTATCATCATGAAACTAGAAACGTTCGGATGAATTTGGATCACGTCAATTTAAAATTAGAATTGCGTTATTAATTAATATTTAATAGCTACAGTGTAAAGCCTTTATAACGTCTTACAATATAACATAAAATTCCCTCTAACGTAGAAATTAGTTCAATTTGGTTTGTTTACGGGTGCGTGCTGATATTCAATTTTGACAATTTTTTCTTTTTTTTTTTTCTTAATAAAAGATGCGTAAAGCACAAAAATGTTTATGAAAAAATAAAGTTTAAAAGTTAATTTGATGAAAAATGCCACTAAGTTTACCGTGAAAAGTACCCTACTGGATTCTTACTGAAAATGGCTCTCTTTCAAACTTTGAAACTCATACGTATCATAGGTATAATTGTATCTTGGAAGTCCTTACGAAAGAATGCAATTTTAAGGAACCATATCTCAAAAGGATGAGTTATGACGACTTATCGCCCATCGAGTCTTTTAATCTACACGTACAGAACTACCAGAATCCAAAGTTTCAAAGAGTAACAGGATCATTTTCTGTATGAATCGAGCGGGGCCCTTTACATATAAGTCCTTGAAGTTACGTATCAAATGTTCCTGCTTGAAAACAATTGTGTGTTGCTATTACCTTTGTAATTTTTATAAGCTAAAGAAAAATCACAAAATAATAATTTTCAATAAATATACCAATTTAGAATAAATCAATTTATCTATTTAAGGGAGATATTTTTTGGTCGAATTTTTGTAATGTATTAGAGCTGTTAAAGCACGTTTTTCAATGCTACTGCAAAATTTAGGCTCCGAATTCCAGTCACGATCAAAAATCTATTGGCTACGATTCGAAAAGAAGATCCAAAGCAGTCCCTCTTGGTTTAGGTGATTAATGGCTCACGGTCCGAGCTGGCCATGTCAGCTGGACCACTTTTTACTTTCTGGAATCCCATTAGCCTTGCATGGACCCCATGCCATTTATAAAAGGATCACTTTTTCTGTTAAAGTTTCCAAATAGTTCTCTATTTTTCATCAACATAGTCCAATACGAAAACAAACACGATAAGTTTCACGTAACAATAAGTAACTAATTATATTTATAGAAGGATGCGATACAAAAAAAACTCCGGAGCAAATCATAAAAATAAATTCAAAATTCGATTATTAATATTGATTTTTTTTACAAATATTAACTTCCCTTGCGTAAAAATCTTAACTAGAATTGTACACAGAAGGATGGAAAAAGGGCGGAAGCACTATTAGGGGAAGATCAATTTGGGTTTAGAAGAAATAGAGGACCGCGGGAGGTCATTCTACCTTTACAGGTAACAATAGAGAAAACGATAGAAAAAGGAAAGAGTGGATCGATTTGTAGATTTAGAAAAAGCTTTTGACAATATTAAATGGGACAAGATTTTAAATACACTTAAACATGTAGGGATGACTTAAAGAGATAGAAGAGTGATACTTGGTTTGTATAAAGAACAGGCAGTTATAGAGCTAGAGAAGCAACGTAGAGAAGTGAATATAGGAAGACAGTCAGATAAGGTCACTTTTGAATCCATACATCGAAAATGCGATTAACATCATTAAAGACAGTACAACTGTAGGGATATATATATACAGGGATAAAAGATAAGTATGATTAGATTTGCAAATGATATAAGCAGTATTGGCATCTAGCAAGGATGAGTTAGAAATAACTTTAAATAAAATGGAAGCGGTATTGATGAAACTGTATGGTATGAAAATAAGTAAAACTAAAAACTAAAATATTGATATGCAAGGGAAGAAAAAGTTCGCAAAGAGTGAATATAAAGATAGCAGATGAAAAATTAGTAAAAGTGACCGATTTTCGGTATCGAGGAAGTTAGATAATTCAGGATGACAGGAGCAGTATAAAACAGAGGACAGTACAGGGTAGTGCTAGGCAAAAATATCGATATATCGATGACTATTTGTTGTCGAGTTATGAAATTCCATAATTAAAAANAGTACTATATGAAAATAAATAAAAATAAAACAAAAATACTGGTATTCAAGTGAAGAAAAGGTAGGGAAAAGTGAATATAAAATAGACGCACAATTAGAATAAGTGGCTGATTTTAGGGATCTAGGAAGTCAGATAAGTCATGACGGAAAGACTAGTAGGAATATAAAGCAGAGGATAGCGTAGGGTCGAGTCTCCTTGAATGAAAAGAAGTCAAGAAAAGATTGGAAACGTTTGATACCGTGTATAGAGAAGGTTAGAAATAAAGAATTATTAGAAAGAATACGAGAACAGAGGACTCTATAGAAGTCAATAAGAAATAGGTGAGATAGGTTCGTAGGATACCCTTTCAGGCATGAAGGTCTAGTCAGAGACATATTAGAGACAGGAGCAGGAGTTAAGAAGAGTACATACCTAGATTAGATTACTGTTCACAAACCAGAATGAAATGACTCAAAAAAAAATTATATAAAAATATTTTTCATTAATATTGTCTTGGTATTGCGTTTGGTCACCACTATTAAAATCAGTGGATACTAAATCCACCAAAACAATTCTCTCTTTAATGTGTAATTCATAAAAACAACTGACGTTGAATGTAAACAATTCGATGGTAAAGAACGAACCCCGAAAGACTAAAGACCGAAAGCTACTCTCGTCCTATAAGTTGGAAAAGTTGGACAATTTAAATGAATCCATCGATACAGCAGTCTGCGGAAAAAGAGCTTAAAGTAAGCCAACTAACTATAAAATATCATAATATCAACAAAGCACAAAGCACTTGACAATAAAAAAGGAATTAAGCCGAAAGCTCACCAATTGACAACCGCATCATAATTTGTTATGAGAAAGACCAGATCACGGCGATTATATCAATTTTGATTCAAGTAATTGTATGAGATCCCATTTATTCTGCTTAATTTTTTTTTATTTATTACAATTATTATGTGCAATGGTGGATGATTATTATTATCTATCCAGTAATTTAATTTAAAGAGGTTTGGTATCATTTTGAGAGAAAAAAATATTTGTAGCAAAATATTTATTATTAAAATTCTTTTTTTCAAGATTTTTGTTCATCAATTAATTCAAAATTTCCGGGTTTTCCCCGAGCATTACTAGCAACCAACGAAGTGCCACGGCAAAAAATGAACTTAGCTTAATGGGCCGGGGCGCCGGGGGCTGTCCCAGGCCGGGTCCCGTGGTATTTTTCCCATTCTGCCACCGTATTGTTATGCCACTGCATGCCTTCATTGACATAGTTTCTTATATACGGGCAGGATATGGTACGATGGGGTTTATAACTTTTTTTAATTTACTTTCCATAAGTCATCTAACTAAATATGTACGTTTGTATTACCGTAACCTTTTCTTAGTTTGTTTTTAGTTTACTTTTTATTTTTTACTTTTTAGTCCTGCTTTTTTTATTTTATTTTATTTTAAAAACTACTGCTCATTTTTGGTAAAACAGACAAAAACAGAAGTCCTTTCTTTGATGTCGCTAGAAATACTAAAAAGCAGTTTGAACAGGCTAATTTTTTGTGGGACAACTGCCAGCAGAATATTTTATTAAAATTAAACATCGCTGTCGATATACATTATCGACATTGTTTATATGCCAACTCAAAGAATGCTGCTGCAGAGATATAAGAGGTCATAAATTTAAGAAGATTTGTAGGCAATTTTGTTTGCAATTAATTGCATTAAGCCCGATGAAGATTTATTTTATCAGTAGTCGTCGATCAGAAATAAAAATGCATATGTGCAACCTGCTTCGTATCTCCTTAAACGCTATATATACTGTCAACCAAAGCACCAACTACTCCATCGACAGAAGAAAGCAAAGAAGTGTGCATTCTAGA